TCCAGACCTTCCGCACAGCCCTTAAGATCTGGCTATCCCGTCAGGCCTGGGGATAAGATTCTAATCCGCCCCACCCGAAATGAAAGTTGTGTTTTATTGTTTTATTTTTATTTACGCACTGTCTTATGTTTTATCTTGCACCCCCCTTCCCATGAACTGTAAGCCGCCCTGAGTCCCCTCAGGGAAAAGGGCGGCCTATAAATAACAAATAAATTCTAAATTCTAAAATGTGTTGCAGCTATTTTCAATGTATTCTCATAATATCCCTCATTTTCCAATTCCACCTCTCTAATTTGTACTGAATATACAAAGCTACTTTAGATTGTCACAATTAGTGTTGTGAGATGCAAGAGGTGTCAGAGGCTATGTGGTACAGAGACCTTGCCACCATGTTGCAGGAGGAATGTTTTGCAGAAGCCCACAATACATTCCTGGCCCAAATCCCTTAAGGTGTTCTGTATTCTGCAACATTTGAAAGTACTCTTCCAACAGCAAATCCTAAACGCACAGCTTGTTATGTAATCCAGTCAAATGCAGCAGCTATATTCTCATCACTCACACCCCTGCCTTTGAATCTAGTACATTTGCAGCAGCAAGTATTGGGGTACACAAGCAAACCAAACTGCAGCCTTTCCCCTGCAGTGCTCCCTAGTTGCACAAATGTGTATTTCTCTTGTTTAAGGACTGCATTGAGAAGTACAATGTTACTTGAATTGTATTTCAGGATTTGCTTGAGCTGAGAGAACTTGCAATAATTTAAGACTTTGCAAAAAGTTTCAGAAATCTTTCGTTAAGGTCTTCATGTTATATAGTTTGAATACCATGTCATAGATATATTATTTATCATTGGAAAAATTTCAATTTTTCTGAAAAAACAAAACAAAACAGGAAAACACTGCCCCCCCCCCCCAATTTTTCTGGGTTTTTTTCCAAGCCTTCCCATCTCTAGATCTAACTTGATTTTCTAGTATTTGACATTCCTGTAAATAGGTGAAATCTTCTAAGGTATATTAACATCCACACAGTTCAGAATGTCAGTATACTCTATTTTTGTTTGATCTTTGAATCATTACAGGCAGTCTTCGATTTATGACTAAATTACTTAATGACTCTTCAAAGTTAAAGTCATATAGAAAGGGTATCCATCTATATTAAACCCCTCCCCCCATGGTCACATGACCATATTCTGGGTGCTGGGTAATCAGCTTGCATTTGTGACCAGCTGTAATATCTGTCATGTGACTGCAATTTGCGTCATTTCCAGCAAAAAAAAATAACCCCACCCATTCAGGATTTGCTTAACTGATTCAGACTTATGAACTCATGATCCACTTAACAACCACTGTAAAAAAACATTTAACTTGGGTCCTGTGATGTGGATGCCTCAATTTATAACTACAATGATTTACAACCACACTCCAGTCCCAATTATAATTTTGTGTTGCGAACAACTTTTGCGATCTGTACATTAGTGTCCCTTACTATAGTAATTTAAGGATGGAATTTCCTGCCGAGTTCAGGAACTTTCCACATCAATCTTTAACAACCTCTTTGACTTCATTCTATTGTTCCTCTGGTTGCCTGTCAACGAGGGCCAGGAATTTGGAGAGTATCTTGATATTCTTCTTGAAAATGATGGATATATGCTCCGGATGACATGGAAATTGACTTACATCTTATACACGAGCAGTTTTGTGATCTTCAATCAGTCTCTGACTTCAGTTTTTCTTATAATTAAATCTTCTATCTCTAATAATATAATTCATTTGATTTCTGCTTAGTCCATCAGGTGATGTCCACACACATGGGCATGCTTTTGGTGATCTGAAGACTTGTGTCAGCAATCAAGAAATAATTTGATTAACAGAAACTAATTATTGTCATCGTTAGCAGAAAGTCACTATTTTGACTTAAATTTCTAGGTTTCCTTGGACTTATGATTCATTTCAATTTCTTTATTATTTTTTAACTCTGGCATTCTAATCCCCCCCCCCCCCCAAAAGCATGTTTTGCTTGTGAGGTCTGTCAATTTATGGAAAGATAGTTGGAGGTCAAATAAGTTGCAAACAAACCCATTTCTTTTTAACAACTTCTTCACTTTGCCTTATTTAAACACATCCCTGAATTCCAAACACAGCTTTCAATCATAAATAAATGTGCATCCTAGATTTTCCTCAAAGCATATCATTAATATCACATTAAGGATAGACAAGTGAACATCTGCTAAATAGATCTCAAATAATGAGGATGGAAAAAGTCTCGGCACTTAGATTGTCACTGTCTGCCTAATTAGATTCTAGTCTTTAGTCAATGTTAGTCTACAGAGATTCATTGAAATGGCTGCAAATCTCCTTTGCTGCGTTAGGTATGCTATTATGATACTCCCAAAGGAAAACGAATGCCTTAAGCGCACATGTGCTCATACACATAAGTACTGCGGACAGATTGCATAATACCATAGCTGACAACAGGAATTGCAGTGGCTTGCACTGGTGTCTTAAAAGAAAGCAGCGCCATCTTCTGAAGAGATGTTAATGCAGCTATAATTCAATGAGCATACCGTACAGTACAATTTGTTAACATTAGGTGAAGGCAGTGTGACTCACCTATATTTCCCAGCAACAGCAATGGTGCAAGGATATTCCTTCTGCCCAAATCTATATTTAAGTAGCGTATGTGGATCAGAACATGCTATTTTGGCAAAACTTTGGGGTTTCTTTAGATGTTATCAGTGGATCCTACCTGAGCGCTTTGAGAGATGGTTTATAACAGGGGTGTCAAACTCGCGGTGTCACAGCGGCGTCATGTGACGTATTGGGATTTCCCCCCCTTTGCTTAACCGGTCGTGGGTGTGGCCGGTGCGTGACACATCTGAACCCTGGTTTATAAAATTCATTTTCCAAAATTATTCGCCTTAATCATTACAAGCATTAGCTTCCCAACTGTAACCGATACAAATTATTAGCATTCCCAAATATTTATGTACAAATGGAAAACTCTGGGATATATCCAAAAAAAGTAATATTATTATTTTTTAAATAAAATAAAAAGTACAGCTACCCTAGGGTGCATTATAGATGAACCTTCCCTTCATAGCCTTTCTTTTCACAGGAAGTTAATATTAATTCTGGAGGACAGAGTTTACTCAGGTTCCAATCTAAGAAGACAATTACAATTATATGCAAAACAAGTTTATCTTGACAGTAGTAGTAGTTACAAAAAGGATTAACCATCCTGTTTTTTGTGCCCTGCACAACCTCTTGCAAGTTTCCTTGGTTATGAACAGTGAATCTTCCAAGATAAAACATTCATTGCAGTAAACAAGAGAACTCATTTGAAACATCTTCCGTCTCGGAGTATGTGACCTGGGGTAGTTACCTCTCTTTGCCAGATTGTGAACAAGAGTGTTTAATCTTTGTTCGTCTTTTTGAAGCCAGTAGTTTAAAAGTGTCTAGGCCCTGGTTTTCTAAATTGTATTACCGACTGATGACTTTCTCATTTCTACTGTCATATTAGGTAATACAATCCAGCCTGATCAATACATTATAAAACTTCAATGGAAAGTCTTTATTAAATAAAATAGTATTTTTTTCCCAGTCCAATAAATACAGTCACATTACCCTTTGCTGTTAATAAGCTTTCTGGAATCTGAGCAGCCAAGTGAATAATAGTACTGTGCCTTTCTGCATTGTTTGATCTCCTTGATCCTTTAATTCAAAAAGTGGAAGTAAAATGAGAATCAGATATACGACGGATAAAAGGGAACAAAGTGTCTATTGTGCAATTGTTGGGAGTTCTCTAGTCAACTGACGTTCACACTATAGAGAAGGGAAACTGTGATCATCACACTCACAGCTTGCTTCTCAAAATCAGTCCACTTCCAATGTCTCTTATGCATTTTATCCAACACTCGAGTCTGATCACTTTGGCAAATTGGGCACGTCTGCATAGTAATACAAATGAGTTATGTAAAAACTATATTCATCTTGGCCTATCAAAATATTGCAAATGTCAGTCTCCCAGCTAATACATTTAAGGCCCTCTGGATTTCTTCAGTTGCATTTCCACGTGTCACAAACTAGCACC